GTGAGTCTGTGCGTCTCTCAACATGTTCGGCAGCAATGTCTCTAGTGATTAGGGGTGACCATGGAATAGTCGAAGATTCGATGCTTCGATAGGAGGAGCCTGATTCGACAACCAATCTCACAGTCGAATATTCGCAGAGGTGTTATGAAACGAGGACCATGCCGTTTTGGCTATATGGGGGTTCACATATCTGATTTCACACAGAATTACCGGGTTTTTCGATCAGGTCGGGTACAGTAAAAGTGATTTCAAAACATTTCAGCCGGTTTATATATATCGTGTATATATTATTTATCTCATATAAGATGCATTTGGTTGAGTTGCGCTGCAGTAAAGTCATTGTAGTACTACGGTGATTATCTCTTCATCGCACAGCGCGAGCGAGCAGGACAAACAACAATGCAGAATATTAATAACTATGACTGGGACTGTCATATACATAACATTATAATGAGAACACTATTATAATAAAACGCTGTGAATTTTTAGAGTTTAGTTGCCGTGTTTCTGCACGTTGTTGCGTGAAGAACGCGTCCACAAAAGGAGTTCATTCAGAGCTGCGCAGACACGTTCATGCAGGGCCGTAGCTGGGGTTTGCGGGGCCCCAGTGCAGGTTGTACCAGTGAGCCCTGTTTGAAATTGTTTAATTTGTATGTTCGTTCTATTTATTTATTTGTGGTATTTACCACACACAATGTTGAAGTTTTTTCCAAGTTTGTAGGTGTCCAGGTACAGAAACCGAATAATCAAAAGTAAAATAGCACTGCATTAGTCTTCACTGTAAAAATAAATATACAATATACAGTCAAACCAAAATGTATTCAGACACCTTCAACAAATATGACAATAACTCAGAGTGTGTCAGAACAAATTCATCTTGATAATGTTAGATAACTTTGATAGAAAGGTATGTAATGGATTACAATCAACCAAAAATTCAGACAACTGTTAGTAATATTTACACAACTATCAATACTGTTGACCAATTACCAAGCAATGCTTAATTTTTTTCAGTCTGTGGTGTAAGTAGGTCGCATTAGCAATTAAAGAAAAAAGTATTTTTTTATTAAAATATCCAAAAACCACTAGAACAGTGTTATATATTTTGCTGACTTGTGTACTTACATTATCCCAAATGTTTCGAAGAATGTTTAAATCCAGAGAAATATTTTTTTTTATCTAGTGATACGTACGGTGTCTATAGTGTCACTGTGTCGCCTGCTAATGACGTCATAACCCCTCGATTTCCGGTTTTGTTTTGTAGAAAACATGGAAACACCAAAGACGCTTTAATATGTTGTGCGTTTTATTACACCGGTGACGACCACACAGAGTAGCATTATAACAGAACTTTCAAACGTATCTAGTATGATAAAACAGCGCTGCTTTACCCCACATACGCACGACCGGAAGCTGGACGGGGAATCCTGATCAGATGAATGTGCCTTACCTAAAACACAAGAAAAAAACGAAAGCAGAAATGTGTTAATGATAGGGTATAAAAAGAAATGGGATTTCAAGAGATAAAAATAGAAAGATTACGATTATAACTTAAGCTTAAAACGGATGTTAAGCTTGAAACTAATTTTCGAAGAATTTGACATATTCACTAAAAAGAAAATTGGTGTCGAAATAATTTTCACTTAGAAAATGCTGGTAAATTTCACAATTAATTAGAAAGAAACAAAGTAATGCATCAAATTTAACATTACATTTTAAAGTAAAGACTTAATAGTATTTTATAGTAAAAGTTTTTCTATGTTTACTGTAATAATTTACAGGGTTTTTTTTAAACAAGAAATGTAGGTTTTTAGCAACCGTGTCATTTTTTTACATTTTTGAACGAACATTTCCATAATGCATCAAGTTAGACATTTCCTTGTATACATTTCAGAAATAGCTGATGAAAGAGAATTTGTTTCATATATAAGCAAAATGGGCATCGCTACTCAATCAAATTGAATCCAAATTGGAATTCTTGTGAATCAGAATAGATTCAAATCCAATTGAATCTAGAAATGAGTTTTAATGTCCAGACCTGTTAATAAACACACTCACACTAAAGTCATGTAAGTGAGAAATGAGAAGTACCGCTGTGAACACTTGTGACCACCAGGATCATGATTAAGATGAGGCAGAAGGCAGTCAGGCATGCTGTTGCCACCTTGAAGGGATCTTGGCAAAATTGCTTTCTGCTTTTATCTGGGTTCTGCAATACTAGAAAGAAACGAATAAAACAACTGGATTTACAATATAACAACAATTTTACAGTACACAATGGTAAATAAATGAGGCATGTTCACATGACTTTTTTGACAAGAAAGGTAAACTTTAGAATGCTTTCTGAAATACATGTTGTCCATTTCAGTGAATCATTTACAGTTTTTTTTTTTTTTTGCCAGGTTAACTCAAACCCTGAGAGTATTGATCAGTATGCTATCCAATAATGGTGGATGGTTGTCAAGCTGGAGTTTCTAGCATAAAACCTCTTAAACATTTACACAGCTGCAGCATCGGAGATTAAACATTTGTCCAAAAATGGAACGAACATTCATATTCAGCAATGTAATTATTTAAGAATCAACCATTAAAAAACACATGGTCAGATAGTGAATATCAGAGAGCACGCTTTTCATTTAATGTCTGTGATTTAACTCATTTAACTTTTTTCCAAAGCATTGGCCAACACGTCCATGTATATATGTATATGCATATACATACATATGAAGAATTCATTTTCAAAAACAGATAACGTTTTTAACAACTTTCAAAAATCATGTTTTTTCATTGTGCATTCCAATTGGGTAATTTGATTAGGTAAATAACTAACACAATAAAACACAATATAAACATGATAACATAACAGTTATCTGTTTTTGCAAATAAACTCTTCATACTGCATACCCATTATTATTTACTGCCTTACAAGGATCGAAGATACACTGAAAAAAATGATACTACATTTTTTAAGGTAAGTGGTTGCAAGCAATTTATTTTAGCTACATTTTAAAAATGTTTTGAAAGTTAGGCAACTAAATTTGTTTATTTAAATGTAGCTAAAATAAATTGATTGCAACCACTTACCTTAAAAAAAAATTAGTAAATTCAATGAATCATTTTTTTCAGTGTACATTACACACAATGTATCTGTAAACATTAATACAGCAAATGCTGTGATTGGCATACCTGAATATCGCACCTCTGGACTGCTGCAGTCATCGTCAGGTCCGTCGATGAGATTGGTGTGCATTCCCTCTCTGTTTGTAGACATTGCTCACGTTTGCACACTTTCACAAAAATATGAAACTCACTGGAGTCTGTCTGTCCACTGCAGTGCTTGCTCAACAGCAGGGGCGGTTTAAAACGAGATTGTGCTCGTGTGCTGAACGATGTGGATTGGTTAACATGAATTGGTTTGCTTAGTCAGAGAACGTCATGAGCAATTCCTCAAAAGTGCATTGAGTTTTTCTGTAGGGTAAACCAGCTGCTTATGACTCACCCTGACAGTGCTCATTGCACAATTTCATTTGTTTTAATAACGGATTACCCACTTGTTGCTTCATATTTGTTAAGTGTTTTTTTTTTTAAAGGGATCATATGATGCGATTTCAATTCTTCCTTTCTCTTTGGAGTGTTACAAGCTCTTGGTGCATAAAGAAGATCTGTAAAGTTCCAAAGACTAAAGTATCAAATCCAAAGAGATATTCTTTATAAAAGTTAAGAGTCAGCCACACCTACCTAAAACAGCTTCCCACGATGTGGAAAGATTTGCGGCAATGTTCACTCAAAGAAAGAAGGTGTAACTTTTATTCTCGCTGTAGTATTGTTGCTGCCGCCATGTCGTGAAGGCGCTGTGTGTTTCGTTGTGAAAGCGAAACTACTTGTTTGGCCTTCCAAAAGAGGACGATATCCGCTTCGTCAAGCCCACTCTCTCTCTAGCCCTCCGGCCTCCGCTCACTCTAGCCCGCCGTGTGTTTTGTTGTGACAGTGAAACTACTTTGTTTGGTCTTCCAAAAGAGGACATGACTAGAAATCCGTGGTTAAGTTGTATTTACAACACTGTTCCAGAACACTTCAACCCAAATATTCAGATGTGTGCAGCGCATTTTATGGAAAACTGTTTCCTGATCCTGGTAGAGTAGACTACAATGCCGGCTGTTCTGACTCACAGACTGTAAGTACGTTTTCATATTTAAAGGATTTGCCACTGATGATTCAAACGCGAGTTTTGAGCAGTGTAGAGTAGCGCTTGTTGTTTGTCATTTCTCCGATCACAAATGCAGACATGGTTTTATGTTTATGTGGCGCGATGCAACGCAACGCGTAAAAAGACAGTATAAGTCATTATAATCTGTAATTATGTCCCCACTGGATGCAACGAATGCCTCGTTTATAATGGGTTTTAATGTTTTTGTCTCGTCGCTCCGGCATCACAGTATGGTAAGGGGCATAACCTCAAAAGTCCACCTCAAAAAAACTAAATTAAGGTTTTGGAGTTGCCAAGTCAAAGTCTGGACTTAAATCTGATTGAGATGCTGTGGCATAACCTTGAACAGTCCTTTCATGCTCGAAAACCCTCCAATGTGACTGAATAAAAACAATTCTGCAAAGAAGAGTGGAAACGTCGCAAATTATCGCAAACGCTTGATTGCAGTTGTTGCTGCAAAGGGTGGCACAAACAGAGTTATTAGATTTAATTACTTTTTCACGTAGGGCCAGGCAGGTTTGGACAGCTTTTTCCCTTAATAAATGAAATCATTATTTCAAAACTGCATTTTGTATTTACTCAGGTTATCTTTGTGTAATATTAAAATTAGTTTGATGATCTGAATCTTTTAAGTGTGACAAATATGCAAAAAAAAAAAACTTTTTCACAGCACTGTATGTATTTGCATTTACTCAGACTGCTGTAATAGTAGTACTAGATAAACAATGCACAATTGATGCAACTTCTATTTGTATTCAAAGCATCTGTACATGACTTTAGGCTTCTGACTTACCCAGAACAGACACCACAGCAACCTGCGAGGAAACGTAGCGGTTGGTCTTTGCATTGTAGGCCACACAGCTATAGTTCCCACTGTGTTTTCCCTCTACATTGGTGAGGGTAATGTTGGCCGTGGTCTTCTGAGGCATCTCCTCCCCATTAAACATCCACTGGAGCTGAGCGGGAGGGTCAGACTGGGCTGAGCATGCAAGGGTTAAGTTAGAACCATTCTTGAGGAATGAATCTGTTGGAGTTTGTGTCATGATGACTTTCTCAGGGCCATCTAGACAGACATGGGAGAAAGAGATGATTAAAGTGCTTGCAATGCAGCTATGTTTTATGGATTTTTTGATGAATTTAAGACTAGTCTTAAAACCCCCCAATCCATTTAAAACGCTTAACAAGAAATAACAAATTTTCACTGGAAGAACATCAAATGTTGTGCCATGTTACACCATTTCACATCCCCAATGTATCAAGATTTTGTAAATGGTATGTTTAAATGAGGAGCATGTATTTGAGTATCAGAATGTGGTTATAGTTTCAATTTAGGCCAATGAATCTTATTTCAACTATGTTTTTAGAAAACAATGATAGTCTAAGACTCAAGAGACTGGTGCAGTGAATTTACTTTATGATCAAACAATGTATTTGCAGAACACAATTCCACCATTAATGGAAATCCAAGATTTTCATTGGAATAGTTCAGGCAAAATTGAAAATTGTGGCAATATTTTTTTACATGCCTCTTGTTTTTTGTACCTTGTATTTTTGTTTTAAGGACTTTTAAGTTACTTCCTGTCTGGTGTGTTCTTGTAATCACTCAGTTTGTAGTTTTTCTGTTAATTAGCCTGTCATTGTTTTCAGGTGTTTCTTCTTTCCATATTAGCCCTCTGTCTGTGTTTTCCCTTGTACTTGGTCAGTTGTTGTTGCTTGAAACTTTGGTTTCAGTTCTGTTCTGTGTTCCTGGTTTTGGTTTGTTTTTACTTTGTGTTTTTGTACTTTTTTGGATCCCTGTTGCCTGACCTTTTGTTTTGCCTTGCTTCACTTAATAAATCTTTACACTATCGAGCAACTATCTTGCTTGTGTTTCTAGACTGCCCGTGTACGTGTTATAGCTAGCTATTTGCATGATTTATTTTCAACATGAAAAATATTTATATCTGATTTCATACAATAACTGAGGAACAGACCGAATTTTTAAGTCACTTTTTAAAACTGAAATTCTTCCCTATAACTTCATGTATATTGAAAGACATGGTCACTATGAACTGTCACTGCAAGGAAAGTACTGCATAAACATAAAACACTTCATGTGGATTTGAAACAATATGATGCTGAGTGAATAATGGCAATTTTTAGGTAAACGGTGTTCATGTATTCATGTCTCACGCTAAGCCTGTGTGGGTGTGATCAGGTACGTACAGCACACAGTGAGATTGAAGGGAGCGCTCCTCCCTGACTCCAGTGCATTTTCTGCAATGCAGACGATGGGTCCTCGCAGATCTGTACGGCGAACTTCAGCGATAGTTAGCTCATCGCCGACTGCATTTAGTTTCATATGTGTGCCATCCACCACCAAAGGGACTGAACCGTTCAGCCACTCGTAAGTAAAGGAGCCTTTGGCAGAGCAGGAAAGAACCACAGTGCTGTTGAACTCTACAGCTTCAGGTAGATTGGACGAAATCTTGACGTCAGTTACAGGTTCTGGAGAAAAGAGAAGAGAACCATGGATTGGGTTCATTCAGAAACATATTTGCTCCATTCAACAACCTCTGGATAACCAACCCTGAGATTTGACAACATACATCTTACATCATGAAAGTCTCCTAGACAGATCTAAAATATCTTTATACGATTGATTTCCAGTCACTGAATGAATGTCTTTAAAATGAAGCATACTGCAAATCATATGTTTAAAGCAAGTCACAAAATGAGTCATCACTATTATCCATTTGGGTTGATTTAATCATATTCATCGTCAATGCAAACTCCATATCATCCAAAATTAACCCACTGTTTTTTGTTTGTTATTCAGTGCAACTCTGTCTTAAAGAACTACTAAAAAGATTACATTCTGTATTCAACTAACACTTTTAACAAATTTGTGGAGGACTTGAACCTTCAACCTTTCATTCATCTTCAGACCTTCAAACACTAGGCTTCACCAACATGGTGTCTAGTCTGTAACGATACAGTATACCTGAAGATTGCACTGGATAGTCAATACTTACCAAGAACCTCAAGATCAATCTGTCCGGACAGTTGCTGTCCTTTGGTAGTGACTATATTGAGAATATATTCCCCTTCATCCTCCTTCACCAGCGGACCGAGCTGAAGCTCACACGTCGCGTTATTGTAGATGATTCTGCTGGTGTATTTCTCATCAATGTTATCGGTGTTCGTTACTAGGACACTTGTAATTATCGGTGCAATTACTGGATCTTTGTTGAAATTCCATGTTACGGTTAGAAAATCCTGTGTTGAGGTGATTGTTGTCTTGAAGGTCACATTTTTACCTGGTTCAATAAGGTAAGGAGAAATCGAGATTAAAACACCCCTGCTAAGTTCTTAGAAATGTATCTAACATTTAATTAATAGCTTCATACATTTTAATGAATATTTTGATTTAATGAACAAATGGTGGTGCAACCATCTACTGAAATTATACTCAAATACTGTCCTTGCACCTTAAATACATGTGAGTACACACACAGCAGGTTTTCTTGTCACGTGGCAACAAAATGGCTTAGTTATGCCACACTGAATTCGATTTGGCAGACATTTTTTTAAGTAATAATAATTAAAACTATAAAACTATAATCTAAAATAAATAATACATTGTGGCAAACTTCTAAACTATCAAAATATTGACAACACTTCCTTTTTTTCAAGATTTCCATACATTTTTTAAATGAACAAATAATAGAAAACAAAAACACACCGAACCATGGATAAACCATACATCGACTCACCGATAACGCCGTTCGTTTTGGCTTTGAGAAGCGGGCTGCCCTCGGAACAGCATCCTATAAGAAGAATGATCTTCAGTCAGGACACTTAAGATGAACTTGAGCATAGAAATTAAACTATTTAAATTAGAAATTAAACTAAATTACACATTATGTCATGATCTAGGCTACTGTTTAAAAGCTTTCAATAATTTTTAGATACCAAATTTAAGTTTTTGACATTTTAAAATAAAAGACTACATGTGCTAAGTGACATTTTTGTCTTTCATTTTTTGTTTTTAACTTACCAAGAGCGGCCAAAATGAGCAAAGGCAGCCTAAAGTTACAGAAATCCATATGGAGAGATGTGAGTCCCTGGAGCGACAGACGGGAATGCGAGACGGTGTGACTTCTCTGTAAGAACTTGAGAAAGTTAACGCGACACACCCAACCAGTTTATCTGAAAACCCGCCCCGTTCAACCTGTACTCTTCCGATTTCATCATTTACCGTTCTCCATTAAGGGGAAACATTGCCCCCTTGACTTCATTTGTCATTTGCATTTTGTTTCTTACCATATAAAAGCACACAGCATGTTGCATATTTGCATAGAATACTCAATCAGAGAATATAAACAAACTGTCAGTATAAATAATAACTGTTTTTTTGTATTATTAAATAAGCATTAAATACAAAAGTAAAGTAGGCACAAGATCAGGCTGCTGTATTAACACTGAAATATATGCACATAAAAATAAAACATGAATAATAAAAAATATTTAAATACATTTTAATTATATAAATATATATATATATATTTTACCTACTAACAGGGGCTTGAGCCGTTGATAGCAGATGCAGTTAATAACTAAGTTGAGAGAGAGAGAGAGAGAGAGAGAGAGAGATTAACTCTGTGAGTCTGTGCGTCTCTCAACATGTTCGGCAGCAATGTCTCTAGTGATTAGGGGTGACCATGGAATAGTCGAAGATTCGATGCTTCGATAGGAGGAGCCTGATTCGACAACCAATCTCACAGTCGAATATTCGCAGAGGTGTTATGAAACGAGGACCATGCCGTTTTGGCTATATGGGGGTTCACATATCTGATTTCACACAGAATTACCGGGTTTTTCGATCAGGTCGGGTACAGTAAAAGTGATTTCAAAACATTTCAGCCGGTTTATATATATCGTGTATATATTATTTATCTCATATAAGATGCATTTGGTTGAGTTGCGCTGCAGTAAAGTCATTGTAGTACTACGGTGATTATCTCTTCATCGCACAGCGCGAGCGAGCAGGACAAACAACAATGCAGAATATTAATAACTATGACTGGGACTGTCATATACATAACATTATAATGAGAACACTATTATAATAAAACGCTGTGAATTTTTAGAGTTTAGTTGCCGTGTTTCTGCACGTTGTTGCGTGAAGAACGCGTCCACAAAAGGAGTTCATTCAGAGCTGCGCAGACACGTTCATGCAGGGCCGTAGCTGGGGTTTGCGGGGCCCCAGTGCAGGTTGTACCAGTGAGCCCTGTTTGAAATTGTTTAATTTGTATGTTCGTTCTATTTATTTATTTGTGGTATTTACCACACACAATGTTGAAGTTTTTTCCAAGTTTGTAGGTGTCCAGGTACAGAAACCGAATAATCAAAAGTAAAATAGCACTGCATTAGTCTTCACTGTAAAAATAAATATACAATATACAGTCAAACCAAAATGTATTCAGACACCTTCAACAAATATGACAATAACTCAGAGTGTGTCAGAACAAATTCATCTTGATAATGTTAGATAACTTTGATAGAAAGGTATGTAATGGATTACAATCAACCAAAAATTCAGACAACTGTTAGTAATATTTACACAACTATCAATACTGTTGACCAATTACCAAGCAATGCTTAATTTTTTTCAGTCTGTGGTGTAAGTAGGTCGCATTAGCAATTAAAGAAAAAAGTATTTTTTTATTAAAATATCCAAAAACCACTAGAACAGTGTTATATATTTTGCTGACTTGTGTACTTACATTATCCCAAATGTTTCGAAGAATGTTTAAATCCAGAGAAATATTTTTTTTTATCTAGTGATACGTACGGTGTCTATAGTGTCACTGTGTCGCCTGCTAATGACGTCATAACCCCTCGATTTCCGGTTTTGTTTTGTAGAAAACATGGAAACACCAAAGACGCTTTAATATGTTGTGCGTTTTATTACACCGGTGACGACCACACAGAGTAGCATTATAACAGAACTTTCAAACGTATCTAGTATGATAAAACAGCGCTGCTTTACCCCACATACGCACGACCGGAAGGAGTGGAAGCGGATGACTG